GATCTGTGAAGTTCGGATTCTTCCAGGTGGGTGTTGTTTGGATCTGGCTGCTGTGCTCCACTTCTTTCTGCTGCAGCCTTAGAGTTGAACCCTTTGTGTCTCTCTGGCAAGATGTTCTGCTCCTAAATCAGCTGGTTGGGTCTTGCCTCTAGCCTCTTTGCAGGGAGTTCTGCTGAAGGGTTCCGTGCTGGGCCCGTGCTCTGGGTCTATTTAGGATCCCACGGCTTCGGTCGTCTCACTCACTCGCAGTACCTACGCTCCTGGTCAATTCAGGATCTGGAGGGTCCCAGGTCATCTCACTCTCTGGGCCTGCATTCTGGGATTTTTCAGGATCCCGCAGCCCGGGTCGTCTCTCTCACTCGCCGGGCCTGCGCTCTGGGTCTGTCAGGATCCCGCGGCCCTCGGGTCATCTCACTCACTCGCGGGGCCTGCGCTCTGGGTCTGTATTGTAATCTTTTTGCATTTAAAAAAAATTGAGTTTTTTATTGTTGAGTTGAAGGAGTTCTTTATGCTGGATACCAGACTCTTAAATACAATTTTCAGATCTTTCTCCCTGTTCTGCCAGTTGTCTTGTTACTTTTGTCATAGTGTCCTTTGATACGCAAAAGATTACAATGTCAATGAAGTCATTTTTCTGTTTATATTGTTATTTGTGCTTTTGCTAGAACATTTAAGAAAATTCTATCAAATCCAGTCATGAAGGGGCCGGGAGATGGCTCAGTAGAATAAGTGCTTCCCTGGCAAGTGCAAGGGCCTGAGTTCAATCCCCAGTTCAGGGGGGGAAAAAATCCAGTCATGAAAACATATTTCTTTTTTCTTTTTAAAAATTTTTGTTTATTTGGTACAGGGTCTTACTATGTAGCTCAAACTCAGCCTCCCTAGCACTAGGATTATAGGTGTGGGCCATCACGCCCCGTTTCAGGGCCAGCATAGCATATAGTACTGCAGATTGAACCCAGGGTCCTTATATTTGCCAGGCAGGTGCTTAGACCACCAAGATACTTCCTCAGCCCCTCCTGTTTTCTTTTTTAAGAGTTTTATAGTTTCAGATTTTACACATAAGTCAGTGGTGGCAAGCCTGTGGCACACATGTCTCGGGCTTGTTTGTATCACTGAAAGCTCTGAAAGGTTTGCCATCACTGGTATAGGCAGTTAATCCATTTAGAGCTACTTTTTGTGTTATGAGCCGTAGAGGCTCAATCTCATTCTTTTGCTTGGAGATCTTACCTTTCAGTACGGCTTGTTGGAAAGTTTATCCTTATCCTTGTTGAATGGTTTTAACACTGTGGTCAAAAATCAATTGACCATCAATATTTGTGATTCCTTTGACTGTCATCTGGTCTATGTGTTTATGTCGGTACCACACTCAGTTTAGATGGAAATTGAGAAATGTGAGTCTTTCATCTTTCTTCGTTTTCAAAATTGGTTTGGCAGCTGGGGAGATGGCTGAGTAGAGTAAGTGCTTCCCTGACAAGCACAAGGGTCTGAGTTCAATCCCCGGTTCTGCCAAAAAAACAAACAAAATTGTTTTGGCGTGTTGGGGCTTGCAGTTCCATGAATTTGAGAATTGGATTTTTGGTTTATGCAAAAAGGTTATTAAGAGTTTGGATCAGGATAGTATTAAATATGTAGATCTCTTTGAGTAATGTTAACTCTTCCAACCATAAATACAAAAATGTCTTTCCATGTATTTAATTCTTAGATTTCTATAAGCAACATTTTGTAATCTTGGTGCAAGTTTTTACTTCCTCGCCTAGATTTAATTAAACCCTAGCTTATTTTTTGATGTTATTATACATGATTATTGTTTGTTTGTTCTGTTTTGTTTTCCTTCTGGCACTGAGGATTGCACCCAGACAGCCTTCTCTTCACTACATCTCCAGCCCTCTTTTTTTTTTTTTTTTTTTTTTTTTGGTGGTGCTGAGGATCAAATCTAGGGCTTTGTACATGCAAGCAAAGAGCTCTACCACTACCTTTGAATTCTGGATAAATCAGACTTGTGTAGTTTGAGATAGGATCCCACTATTCAGGTCAGGCTGACTTTGAAGTCACTATGTAGTGTACGTTGAACTCTTAAAGATCCTCTTGTCTCAGTCTTCTGAGTGCTGGGATTATATATGTGTGTCATCACACCCAGCACTTGTGCCATCTTAATATAGTCACTTGGTTATTCTTTAATATTTCTACTTTTGTGATTTATGTAAAAAGCCTTCAAAATTTTAATTTATATTATAATCAGCTATTTTGCTTTTATGAACTGATTTTTCTTCACATGAATTGTCTCTATTTAGTAAACTTTTACAGATTATTTACTGTCTTTGAGACTGGATCTCGCTATACATTTCAGGCTGGCCTTGAGCTCACTTTGTAGTCCAGGTTGGTCTCTAACTCACAACGATCCTTCTACCTCAGTGTCCCAAGTGGTGGAATTAATAGTTGTGCACCAGCATGTCTTACGAGAATTTCATTTTTAATACTGTAGTTATTTTATTTGTTGATTGGGTCTTGCTACGCAGGTCAGACTCTTAGTGATTCTCCTATCTCAGCCTCCCCAGCACTGGGATTACAGAGGTACGACACCACGCCAGGTTTCGGGGCTAGCATGGCATATACTCTTAGGGATCAAACTCAGGACCTTGAGCTTGCCAGGCAGGTGCTTAGTCTGCGGAGCTATCTCCCAGCCCCTAATACTGTATTTAAAGGATGATAGTTTGTAAGCCAGCCATGGTGGCAGATGCCTGTAATCCCAGCACTTGGGAGGTTGACCCAGGAGGATCGCCTCAAGTTCAAGGCCAGTTTGGGTTACATAGTTCAAAGCTAGTCTGAACTACATAGCAAGACTCTGTTTCAAAAAAAGACAAAAATAGGGCCAGTAAGATAGCTCAGCAGACTAAGCGCTTTTTTAGGCAAGCACAGGGGCCAGAGTTTGATCCCTGGCACTGCATACCACGCCAGCCGCGCTCTCCTGGGTGCCCTAAGCACAGCAGTGGAGTCCAGGCATGGTGGTGCATGCCTGTAATCCCAGCACTAGTGAAGGCTTAAAACAGGAGGATCACTACAGGTCTGAGCTACTTAGTGAGATCCTGCATACGCACGCACAAAAAGACAAAAATAACACCAATTCCTAAAACGGATGGCAGTTTATAGATTTCTGAAGAATGTTTTTCTAGTAAGCATACAAGTTTTTGCTACCTTCTAACAATTAATATAAGCCCTCATAGTGAAAATTAATTTAAGTATTATTGAAAGAAAACACGTACATACATAAAATTTATAATATCCCTCCACACACATATTTTTTCACAGGTTCTCACTGTATTCCCCATGCAGGGTTTCAGAAATCCTTTTGTATCAGGCTCCTGAGTGCTGAATATGTAGATGTGTGCCACCACATCGGCTATAACTCTGTTTTTTAATTTTAATATGTATTCTTATATGTAGCATTCTGGAAAACTTCCTTACCTGACTCTCCCTGGCTGTCTTCAAGTTGTATCATTCAGCAAGCCAGATACTGAGCTGCTTACGTAAACCACAACTTCCTCTTCCTAGATTTCTTTATTGTTCTTTTTCATTGCAACTTTTACTTTGTTTATATGATTTTCTGAAGAGAGAATAGATACTTTTTATTATAAAATCCTTTTATATATTTTAATAATAGTTTCCTTAGGGGTTAAATCTTCTCTTAGAAGGATTTCATACTCTTTGATATTTGGTGAGACAAAGAAGTGAATGAGATAGTTTGGAAAAAATTTCCAGCTCCCTATCCCCCAAAAAATAGAAGTTGTAAAAATATATTTTGTTCCTTTCATCCTGTGAGTGTTGGATGAATTAGGCTTTTGTGTAGATACACTGATCCATGCATTTATATTGGCTGCACTTGTGCTGGGTCTTCTTCAAATTGACTAGTTTTTTGTTGATTTACGGAGTACTTACTATTTAGTGCTTTTTATGCACTAGGCCTTGTACAGGACACCAGATTACTGTGTATAGTAACATACATTGATACAGTTGTGAGAACAAAGCAATGGGAATGCATTTCAGTAGAATAACAGTCTTAATGATTAAATTTCAAGTAAATAATGTGAAAATATGGCCAGGGTGAAGCCAGAAAAAACCTCATGCTCAGCTTACAAGTCTCTTCTATATTCTCTAGACCTTGATAATGTGCATGCTTGACCTTACTTGCCACAAGTATAGATTACTTAACTTTTCAGCAGTAAAAAGACCCCAAAGCATTAGCTGTTATAGTTGTTCTTTTTTAAGGGCGCCTAACATCTTTTAAAAAATAGTACAGTTGATTATCTTTACAAATTGATACCTTTAGCATGTCATGACTCTCATATGCTTGGGCATCTGTTTAGACCACACTGATGTGGACTTTCGACAGTTGCCCTCTGTTTAGTTTGGATGAAGATGATCCTTGTACTCTGAAATTACATGGATTTTGAATTCACGAAAAGACTTTCTAGTTACTATCAAAGCATCTTTATACTGAATTAATCAGTATTTACTGAGCAAGAAATACAACCTAATCACTGATTATCCTTTCTTTTTATTTTTAAAAAGTTATATAGCCTATATTTTTGTAGTGTTTTTTCCTAGGTGGGCATTTCTTTTAATTTCCAAAGGAGACATTTTACTTTGATCTTCCCCTTTTTTTGCAAAACCAGATGAGAGTGTATGGAATGTTTCTTGTTATAGATTGTTGAAATGGCCCTTAAGAGACATGGCCATAATCCCTGACCTCTTGTCTGTCACAGATCCCAGATTACAGGAATGCAGTCATCGTGGCCAAGTCTCCAGCTTCAGCCAAGAGGTAGGTGGGACCTCTCAACCTTACCTTGGTTCAGCATCTAAGGACAGTAGTTGAGTTCTTGGTGTTCCAAGCCAGACTGTGGTGGTTCACCCTGTAGCTCGATTTTAAGATTATCCTAACTGGGCATGATGGCATGTGCCTGTAATTGCAACACTCTGAGAGACTGAAATAGGAGGCTCACAACTTTGTGCCCAACCTAGGCAATTTAGTGACTTTAGGAAGACCCTGTCTCAAAATATAATTTAAAATAAGGCCCTAGATCCAAACCCCAGCATCAGCCCCCCCAAAAAAAGATTACCCTGCCAACTTCACTTGTTACATAAATGTTTTAGCCCCCCATACACACACAAATTCCCAGTCTGTGACTGTCAGTCATATTTCTAGACCACAGCCAGCCCATGTAGGCATACCATTCCTTATATCCCTTACTCCATATGAGCTTATTGGTCCTTAAATGTGGGAAATAAAATGCTGATAGATACACTTTGTAGTTGTGTACTGCCTGTTAGGCAAAATGACTAGTTTATTAACAGAATTGTGTCTAGCTGAGAAGCCACTTGTTTATATGTGTTAAAAGGCAACGTTTTACAAAACTGAAGCACCTGAGTTGTACAGAGCTGTATAACCATTGGATGTGGAGAGGAGAATATAATCATTTTAACATTTACAACTCACTGGCATTTAGTATATTCACAGTGTTGGTAAACCACCCCATTTCTACTTCAAAAACTTCTCATATCAATAAATAATAAATAATGTGTACAACACCCTGTACACATTAAGAATCACTCCCTGTCCCTTCTCCCTCTCGTCCTCGGCAACTACCCATCTGTTCCCTGTCCTGCTCATTTGCCTGTTCTGAGTGTCACATGTATGTGGAGTGTCACCTCTCTGGCCTTCTGTGACTAAATTGTTTCTTTAGTGTCCTGTCTTCAGGGTACATCCACATGATAGTATGTGTTAGCACTACACTCCTGATTTTATTCATAAATCTTGGAGACTCTTTCCTATTTTTTCTTTTACCCAGGCATCTGGAGGCTACTGGGGACAATAACTATCAGCTGAGTTGATATCAGAATAGCTTTTTAATTTAATTATTTTGTTTTTCTGTTAGCACCCAGGACCTCAAGCATACAAAGCATTTGCTTGGGCCAGTGAGATAGCTCAGCAGGCTAAAGTGCCTGCTTAGGCAGACACAGGGGTTGGGATTCAACCCCTTCTGTGCTGTGCCAGCCGCATCCCTGGGGTGTGATAAGACGTGACTGAAACTGGGCATGGTGGCCTGCGCCTGTAATCCCAGTGCTTGGGAGGCTGAAAACAGAATCACTACAAGTCCGAGACCCTGTAGACCTGGTACTAAATATTAAAAAAAAAAAAAAAATGTGTTTTACTACTCAGCTACTCATGTGCCCTCTGATTACTGTATTTTAAGTTCTTACACCCTTATACTACCATTTGGTTCTATTTAATATTTTCTGTTTCTTTGCTAAGATTTTTTTTTCTTGCATAGCCTATTGTTTTCATTTTTTTCAATCATGTTCATAATTGCTCCTTGTTGCATTTTTCTAATGATTGCTCTAAAATCTCCTTCATGTAATTTTAACCTGTCTATCATCTTGGTGTTGGCATCTGTTAATGAGCTTTTTTCATTCACTTTGAGGTATTTTTGACTTCTGATACAATGAATGACTTTAAAGTGAAGTCTGGACATTTGGGTATTGAGGCTGAGTCTATGTCTTACACTTGTTTTGTTGACTTCTTATGACTCTGGCAGAGGAAGTAGTGGGGGAGATCTCATTGCTGTTCAGGGTGAGTGTTAACCCAAGATGGAGGGGCTGCAGGTCTTTCCAGGAGGAAGCAGAATCCCCACCTCCCAAACCCTCTGACACATGGGGTGGCCTTGTTACTCCCAAGTGAAAGTGGTCTGTTCAAGATTCTCACCAAAAAAGAGAAGCCAGTTTTTCTTGCAGAATTCAGGGTGGAAGTCCATGTTTCCATCTCTGTTGATACTGCTGGGAGTGAGGGCATTCAGTGTCCCCAGCAAAAGGGTGAAAGTCCCTGCTTCTTGCTTGACCCTCCTATACCTCCTGCCAGGGATCAGTTACTTCATCACACCTGGCAAGTGTGGAGGTCCAAGCTGCCTTGGCTTCTGCTGGTGTGGGGGAGACATGGCTGTGGTCTTTCTGTGTGTTTGGCTAGAATGGGGTGGGGTTGTCTTAGGTCTTCTGGCTCACTGGACTGCCTTTTTGGTCCTCTGGCAAGAGGGTGTCAGCTTTGGTTGGGGTTTGTGCAGACTTTAAAGAAGGAGGAAGGAGCTAGTCTAAGTGATACCACACTTTACTGAAGACTGCCCTTGTATTTGTGTAGGTTTTATTCTCTGAGAATTTCTTTTAACTTTTGCATTTTTGTAAGGAAGCCTTTAAACTTAGATGAATACTTATATTTTGGGACTTGGTTGTGCTGAGGATGGAACCCAGGGTCTCAAGCCTGTTAATCAGGTGCCCTGTCACTGAGCCCTCTAGCCTCTGGATGCTAAATCTTAAATTCAGAAATATTTTATAACTCTTTATTAAAATGTCCTCCCTATTTATGACTCTTCCCTAAGTTCAAATAGCATCTACACAGAGATACACGTCTTTGTGTTTGATATGTTGTACAAGTCTGCTCCTTATCATCTTTTCCTTTGAGATATAAATTAAGGTACCTTATAGATAGGATCAGGATAGAAGATACTTACATGCATTTGAGATTGCAATTTAAAATTTTAATTTTTAAGCTGGATACAGTGGTGCACAGCTGTAATCCAGGTATGTGGAATACTGAAGCAGGAGGGTCTCTGCGTTTGAGGCCAGCTGAACTACATAGCGAGACCCTGTCTCAAAAATAAAGTTTTAAAAATATTTTTTGCAGTACTGGGGATGGTTGAACCCAGGACCTGGTGAATTTTGGTCAGGAACTTTACCATTGAGCATTAACCCCCAGCCCAAGATGTTTTTAAAGTGCCACAGAAGAGTTAAACTACATGTAATGTAGTAACACTTTCATGTTTTGTACTGAAAGAGATAAAAATACAACTTTATGAAAGTGTTTCTTGAAACAGAAGCATTTAAGCATGGGTTTAGGGCTAGTGAGATAGCTCAGCAGACTAAAGCACCTGTTAGGTAAGCTTAATTAAGTGCAGAGACCACAGTTTGATCTCCACACCACATGCTGCACAGGCCCCGCCCCCAGGGTGGGCTGAGCCAGCCAGAGTCCAGGCCTAGAGGTATACTCCTGTAACCCCAGCCTGGGGGGAGGCAGAAAGCAGGAGGATCACTGTGAGTCTGAGCTGCGTATTGAGACCCTGTAACAACCAAATACATTAAAAATAAATAAATAAGCAAACAAACAAACATGGTTTAAATTTCTTAAAGTATCCCCTAGGACTGAAGCAAAGCTTTCTGAAGTTGCATAGGTCATGGAGGAAACTCCCAGGGGCTCTGGTCTTGTGTTATGTAAATGCCTTGGGTACAGCTTCTGTGGGTAGTTTTGATGAAACTCTGTGATTCCTCTGTTTTGTTTGCTATTGTGAGCTACTAGAAAATAATTTGTTTTGAATTTTTGGTTTTGCAAAGTCAAGACTGGGAGAACCCATGAAATCTTTAAGCATTTGAATGTTTACTGTGCTACAGGTGCTGGAATGGAAGGCAGAGTAAAACCCAGTGTCCTGCTCAGGTGACCAGGAACCCTATGAAGCAAGGGGGAGGGCAGTGAGGAGGAGGGCAGAGGCTAAAAACAAAAAGATAGCAAAATTATGTACCATGGTATTCTTTTCTTTTTTTTTTTTTTTTTTTTTTTGTGTGTGTGTGTGGGACCAAGGATTGAACTCAGGACCCTGTGCTTGCCATGCAAACTCTTATTCTACTGAGCTATCTCCCCAACCCCAGTATTATTCTTTAAAAGAAAGTTGATGTTGGTTGTCAATAAAATGAGAGCAAGTAATATTGACAGAGATAGGGATATAATGAAAAAAGGGTCAGTTCTTTAAGAAGATGAGATCATCTTAAACACTATGAACTGAGATTCAAAATATGTGAAGCAGACACTGATAGCTACAAGGAGAAATTGTTATAACCATAGCCAGCAATTCCATTACTCCTGTCTGTAGTAGACAGAACAAGTATACAGAAAATCAGGCTGTAGAGGACTTGGCACAGCACTGCCAACCATTAAAAACAGAGGTATATTTAAAAAAAAAAAAAAATCAAATCCACAGTTTGGGCACCACTTTGGAACGGCAGAGTACCCATTCTTTTTGAGTATACAGAATTACTATGATAGGCCATATTCTGGGCTATAAAACAGACCTTATAGTTAAAGCTAATTAAATCATATAAAATAGGTTTTCTGATCCATTGAAATAAGAATAATTACCATAACAGACGTATAAGCCCTGGATGGTTAATAACAACAACATATTGCTAGATAACCAGTGGATCAAAGAAGAAATCAATTGGCCAAGCAGTGGCTGTGACTCATCCACATGGCTGACACTGACAAAGGATCTACAATCTGAGGTACTGGGTCTCAGGATAAATCCTGAGGGGATTTCACTGACCTTATCAGATTCAAAAGCTACAATTCTTGTTGCATAGGTCTTGCTTTATCTTGGTCTTAACCATCCAGCAGAAAAGTATAAAAATTAAGTATAGGAAGTAAAGTCATGCTGTTGAGCTATAGGGGACTCAGGTCAACAACTTCTGACATTGCCAGTCAAGCAGAAGACCCAATTCTACTATGGACTACTGGACTCTTTTGGAATACTTTGCTGAGTTCACACACCTATAATATTTAAATGATGGAACTAAACAAAAAAGGGGATACAGATGAATGACCATTTTGTATCTGTGTATTCAAAATGATTAAAATAGATATATAGCTACATTCTCTTAATAAATAGAGGGATTTGTTCTAATAGCATTTGTAAATAGGATATCATGTCTCCATCTTGTACAACAAAC